ACTCGTTCACCTCTCCCTCAGTGTCTGGGCAACTCTAGAAAAGGTTGTAAAGAACTCTGTGAAATCTTCTCAAAGGCTGGCCGGGGGCCATCTCTCCTCCCTGCCCTCCCTCAAGGAGACCCCAGGAGCCCAAACCTCCAGGCGCCTTGGGACACCTTCATCAAGGAAAATGCCAGAGTCAGATCTGCTGAAGATTCAGTTTGGGTTTGGAGAGGAGTAAAAGAGGTTAGTAAAAGAGAAGCGTGCATGGGTGTGCATGTGCAGCTAGTGGCTAGGTCTCACAGCCCTGCTGGTCTTGCTCTGATCCAAAGACAGCAGCCACACTTGCTCTCTCCCACTTAGGCGTAAGGATTTACTTCCTTCTGCTGAATTCCACTTTAGAGCTGCAATAAAACCATGCCACAGGAAGGCCCCCAACTGCTTTGCACAATGGCTTTCTACCACTCGTTCCCTCTGACAAACGAAGCACAATGGTGCACCAGCCTCCCCCAGCACCCCGTACCTCACCCTCACCTCTGAATTCACAGAAGTCCAGAGAAGCAAAGAGGCATCAATTTTGTTTGAAGGTGATACTTTTTCTTTACTTTTTTCTTTTGCAATGGTGGCATCTCGCTTCCCACAATTTTTATATGCATGGCAGTCAGACCAGGGGAAATGCTATCATAAAGCAGCTGGGATGCCACTATAGGCTCCTGGCACCCTTCTTGCCAGCAAGGCCTTTCGGGCACCACATGCTGCCAGGTTGGCTGAGGGGGCAGGAGGAGGCCACATGCTTCCCAGGAGCCCTGGCTCAGCTGAGGGCAAAACAACAGGTGCAAGAGGCAGAAAGAAGAGTCAGCTAAAACTGCAGCTATGTGCTCATATTGAGGGTGTTCTCAAAAGAGCAGGGGCCCAGGCTGGTACGTGAATGGCAGAGCAGTGGCAGGAGGCAACAGACAATGGGAACAAGCACTGAGGTGCCTGGCCCGGCCCAGCCCTCCATGGATGTCTCTGAGACCTGCCCAGCAGCCACCATGGCGCTGCTTCCTCATGAGGCCCTTGCCCAGCAGGGCTCTGGTCTGGCAGTGCGACATCTGCCTTCACTGGAAAAGAGGGCTGCTGTGGGTATGCAGCCCCCACTCCTTGGTGGGTGGTGTAGAAGGATCTTCTTCTTGGCAAGCTTAACCAGCTAGAAATCCAGCCACTTTGATCCGGTGCTTGTGCCCAGGCTGACCCTCACCCTTTTGCTTAGCCAGCTGTCCAGGACAAAATGGGAATGCTGGAGTCAAGGAGTGTGAGGCCGCCTTTTCCCCATCTTCGCCAGTAAGAGGGCAACAGTCACGCAGAGGGCTGGCCAGACTTTGCCCTTGGTCTGAACACACCATGTCAGCGAGACCCCTTTAGAGGGGCCCACCCTCAGAAGCACCTCCTTCCAGCCTCTTCTTTCCTTGGCTTCTTCCCCACATCTCATCAACCTTCTGCAAGCTGGCAGTTAGTAGTTTTCAGTCACCCAAGGCAGGACTCCTGGGAACATAATGCAGCCCAGTGAAAGGGAATCTGCACTGCATGTCTAAGGTGCTCTGTGTTATTTTATCGATATGCATAGGTTTAATAGCACTTTCGTGTTGTTTGGTTTTGGTATATTTGGGATTAATGTTTAGTAGCTATGTTTGATTTCTTGTAAAATACAAGGGTTTTGCAAAGACTAGAAAGCAAAATTATGCCTATGAGGGAGCCAGGCTAGAAGTAAGGGAGGCTGCCGATTTTGGAAAGGAAAGCAGAAAGGGGAAGAAGCTGCGGAAAAGAGATCTGGAAGTAGAATTAAGAGTGATGAGAGGAGTCAGAGCAGAGAGGCAAGGAGGAACACAAGAAAGGAGTCAGAAGCAGTGAAAGCGGCAGAAAGATCTGTGGCAGGACAGGTAGGGGAGAAAAGCTGCCCAGTTGGCCTCAACAAAGAATGGTTTGTCTAGAACAAGAGGACGAGGGGAACAGGAAAAAAGCAAGAATGCTATACCTTGAGGACTGCGATTAGAGAGGCCGAGAGGAATCTGTTTATTCTTAATTTGTTTTCTTATTGCTTCTTTGGGACTTACTGTAAACTCAAACAGATCTCTTTTTTTAGTTATTAAAACATTTTAGGATCTAATTGTGAACTCTAACAAAAGAAAAGGATGTTTTTTGGGGGGAGCAGTAGTTGCTTTTATATTAGTAAACCATTTAAAATTTTTATTGATGTGGCTTGCCGTTCCATTCTTAAAGCTTTACCATCCTATCAAAAAAATGGGATTCCTTTGTGGAATTAAAAGTTTGGAACTGTGCTGGCAGAAATACATTCCCCCAAAGAAAGCCTTCTATCCCTCTGGAGGCAGCAGAAGAGTTCATGGGGGGGGGGGGGACCCTGGGAAGTATTTGTGCTTGAGGAGAGCAGCCCTGCTGAATGATGGGTGCCAACCCAGGACATGGGTGTTCCTGTGAGGGCTTCAAAATGGGCAAAGAATAGTCATGGACTACAGGACTGGCTGTTGTTTCCATGCTGAGCCTTCAAGTCAACTCTTGATTTTTTTATTCTTGGCAAGATCTATTATTCAAAGGTTTGCCAACATGGCCTCCCCCTCGGGCTAAGAGAGTGTGATCTGCCCAAGGTGGGAAAAACCAGTCAGCATGGTGCAGTGGGTTGAGTGTTGGAATACAACTCCAGAGGCCAGGGTTCGAATCCCTGCTCAGCCATGGAAATCCACTGGGTGACATGGGGCAAGTCACATATTCTCAGCTTCAGAGGAAGGCTAAGGCAAACCTCTCCTATTAAAATCTTGCCAAAAAAAATAAAAATAAAAAAAACATGATAGAGTCACCATAAGTTAGGAACAACTTGAAGGCACACAAGAACAACTTCCTGCATCTCATCACAACAGTGTGCTGGGTTCTTGGGTCGTTCTCTGATCATATGGAAGGTGTTTGAAAAAGACAGCAAATAGACTGTCTCATGTGCTTTCACCAGCCACTACATCAACTGCACAAGACTATTTGTGCTGACATGATTACATCTCCCAGGTCTCACCAGTTGGGCAGTGGAGACTTGTGCAAACTAGTAGTCTCTTGTAATCCTGTTAGTCACTCATGAAAGCGACGGTGTGGCAGCTTTCATTTCTGCCAAGCCATTTTTCTTCCAGGAAAGGAGGAAAAGTATGTCACTGGATTTTGGCTGAACATAAAAGAGCATAGAGAGCCACCACGGCATAGTGGTTTGAGCATCAGACTACAATCCTGGAGACCAGAGTTCGATTCTCTGCTCAGCCATGGAAACCCACTGGGTGACTTTGGGCAAGTCACACACTCTCAGCTACAGAAAACACTGTGGTAGGTTTGCCTTTGGGTCAGCATAAGTTGGAAATGACTTGAAGGTACGCAGCAACAAATAAGAGTATGGGCCTCTGTAGATACAGAGCCTTTTCCATATTTTTTTTCTGAGACATTGAGCCTTCTCTGTCAGAGAGCTCTGGTGCCACAATAAACTACAGTTCCCATGATTCCCTACCACTGAGTCAGGGCAGTTAAAGTGGACTCAATTTGCACTATTTCTAGCAGTCTGCAAAGGCTCTATAACTATCAACCTCACCAGCGATATTAATCTCCTCCTCTTTTAGCTGTCCACCATTTGATAAATTCTCTTTGATCTTCATTAATACAAAAAGCTAGAATCTCACGGAGCCTGTCAGCTAGAACAACCCTAACCCAACACCTTAAGTCTCATGATGTCTTTATGTGCTTGAGGCCACACTGGATTATTTGCACATTTACTAATCTGAAATGTATTTTCATTGTATTTAAGTCACCCTATCTGATCAATAACATTTTTCAAAATAATCAATAAATTCTCCTAATGTCTGGTTGAGTATGAGCTGCACTTTTGCTGATGCTTGTGCTCTGCAAATTCTTACTTGGTACAAGACTAAGAGAATTTGCTAACATTAATGGTTAATTTGTTCACCCCAGTATTTACTGCCTAGACTAGTTCCTGCATGGCAGGGGGTTGGACTGGATGGCCCTTGTGGTCTCTTCCAACTCTATGATTCTATGACTATACAGTACTAATGATTTTGCTGCTGTACATTCTTCCAAAATCTTTATTTTTAACCAGTTTGAGTTTCCCTTTACTTATCTCACCCATCTATAATCTTTTTAAGTCTTTTAATGTGTTTCATGTTTGTATGCTACAGTTTGCAAAGTACACACACGGCTTAGTTCTCTGCCCAGTTGTTTACAAGTAACATACCCTGCTCATTACCCCTGAGCCAAGAGGCTCTCCTTCCATCCGCCGAGCTCCTGCGCCTCCTCTCCTCCCTTCTGGCCGGCCCCATAGGCTCAAGCTCTTGCCCAGACACTGGGAAGCCCTGCTGGCATGGGACTAAGCCTCAATGAACCAAATGGTACTTACGCTTGAGTAGACACGGGCATACATACGCCTGAGCACCTCACTCGCTGCTCTGAGGTCCATCTTGAGCTTTCTGGAAAATGTGATTTGTTGTTTGAAAGAGGAAGAAAAAAAAGAACTGTAAGAAATTATTTCCTGAGAGCAACAGAGATTACTTCAGGCTATGCTTCAATCCAATTCAATTTATTCGGTCCTTGACCAGCACACAGGCTATGCTTCAATACAAATCTGTATTACAATCCCACTTAGAATACTATGTGCAAAATCCTGGCCACTGCCATTTAAGGAGGATGTTGTGGAGCTAGGAAAGATGCAGAAAAGGAAAACAAAGGGCCTTTGCAGACTACCAGAAACAGTGCAAATTGAGTCCTCTTTAACTGCCCTGACTCAGTGCCCAGGGGCAGAGCCGCCATTTTGGGGGGAGGAGGGCAGGGGCAAGGGCCAGCGTCGGACCCCCCTCTCCCCCTCTCCGGCACTTTCTCCGTTCTTTCGGGAAACGCCGCCGAGGCACTCCCTCCCTCCCTCCCTCCAAGGCCAGCAGGGGCCTTCTGCTCCTTACCTCCCTCTCGTCCCTCGCCATTCCGAACACTGTCAAGGTCTTTTGGGGGGAGTTGGGGGGCTTGGGGTTCTCGCAGAAAGGAAGGCTTTAGGCCCATTTTCATTGAGAATCCCTGCAAGGCGCGCGGGGGGGGGGGGTCGGCCGCTTCTTCGCTCCGGGGCCTTCGGAGGGCGGTCGCTGGGGAGCCCTTTCTTCGCCCTACCGCCGGTCGGGGCCGCGGGGCTTTCAGGGCGGCCATCTAGTCCAGCCTCCCCGAGGGACACTCTTCGGAAGCCCCCGGCCGGAACTAAAAAACCCCGTTCCGGGCCGCATCGCTTTGCAACCGGAACCTGCCTGCAGAGGACGCGGGAGAACCCGGACCGAATCGCCGACGGACCAAGTGCCGGGGAAGGGAGGGGCGCGCGTTGACTCACGGGAAGAGGGCGGCCTACATGCCTTCGCGCCTGCTACGTCATGCGCCCCGCCCCGTGTGACGCTACTTCGCCGGCCGGCTGGCCTCCGCCCCCTCCCTTCCCCGCCCCACCCCTCGGGCAAGTCTCGCGAGAGCCGACGAGGCGTGGGCCGAGCTTCCCGCCACTGCCGGAGCGAGCCGCCCGGAAGTCCCTCCCGCCGCCAGCGGAAGCGGGTATTGTTGTCGCTGACGTCACTGGCGGAGGACGCGGGCGTCCCAGTGGGTCGGAGCGCGGTCGGCCGGGCCCATGGCCAGCACCGGCAGCCCCCTGGTAGGCAGGCCGGTAGGCAGGCAGGCAGGCAGGCCGGTAGGCAGGCAGGCCGGAAGGCAGGCCGGTAGGCAGGCAGGCAGGCAGGCAGGCCGGCCCCCGGGCGGAGGCGGAGGCGGAGGCGGAGGCGGAGGCCCTCAGGGCCCCGGGAGGGAGCGAAGGAAAGGCCGCCGCCAGGGAGGGAGGGAGGGAGGCCTCGCGGCTGAGGGCGGCAGGGGCAGCAGGCAGAAAGGAGCGGAGCGGGCGCCGGACACGTAGCGCCTCCGGGAGAGGGCCTCCGCCTCCGCCTCCTTCCTTTCGTCGCGCGCCCGAAAGGTGGTCCCGCCCGGCCCTTCCCTTCCCTTCCCTTCCCTTCCCAAGGGAAGGCGCCCTACTTCGCAGAGGGCTTTCCTCGGAGGCTTCCCGAAGCCCTTCTCCTCGGCCGGCGGCGGAGGGAGGGCCCTGGGCGCGGGCAGCCTCTCTTCCCGCCGGAGGAAGGAAGGAAGGGCCTCTCGGTCCGAAGCGCTAGGAACAGCCAGCGAGAGAGAGAGAGAGAGAGAGGCCTGTGGATCTCCTGAGCGTTTGTTGTTGCTGCGTGCCTCCAAGCTGCTCCCCACTTATGGCGACCTTATCACGGGGCTGAGAGAGTGTGACCCGCCCAGGGCCCCCAGTGGCTTTCCTTAGCCGAGTGGGGAATGGGACCCTGCTCTCCAGAGCCTTCCTCCTGCCTGAGACCACTAGGCCGGGTGCCCTCTCTTCCGCAGCAGACCCACTGCCTTCTGGCCAGCCCTGGCTGAACCCACTAGGGTTTCGGGTTTCTTGCGCTGCTCCCCACCTGAGCCTCTCACCTGCCACCGTGCGCCGCGCAAGGTGCGTCTCTGTTGGCCCCGCCTTTGCTGGTGGTTTTCAGGTGAGGAGGGCTGCCTTTCGCCTGGGATCACCTAGACGCGCTTCGTTTGGGCTGTGACCTGATATGCCCCATAGGAGTCTTTGGAGCACCGTGAGGATGGTGGCTCTGGTTCCGGCTGAAGAACGTGAGGCTTTCTGGGAGGCTTTGCTTGGCTCAGGTGCGGAGTCAGCTCTCTTTGCCGCTGGCCTTTGCTTGTTTGCTGCAGTCTTTGGTCTGCGTGTCAACTATTGTCCTGGTCAAAATGGCCCCCCGCCCCAGATATAAGCAAGCCAGCCTCGTCCTTGGTTACTCCGGGCTCTTGAAGCTGGCTCTGTTGTTCTGTTGACACCTGCCGACTTGTCTGCTGTTCCTTTGGCTTTAGAGCTCTGTATCTGGACAACTCAACCACACGTGCCTTGGCTGCTTTCGTTATCGCTAACTTTGTGCCATGATGAGCCAAAATGGGTGTCTGGGAAGCCGGACAGAGGCATCTGTATACGCAGGAGAGAGAGCCTCAGGGTTTGTAGAAACCAGAAACAAATGGGAGGGGGGTGCTTACCATCCACCCCAGTGAGAACCGAGCATCTTTAGTAGTTGGCAGAATGTCGGCTGTCAGAAGAGATAGAAAATGGAGGCTCTATGGACAGGTTGGTCTGAGGAGGACCTTGTGTGGAAGAAATGGCTGCTGGCAGCCAGGAGGCGGAGAGGTGGCAGTGACTGGACTTCTGCCACTGCTGCCATCTTTCTTTACAAGTCCCACTCGTGAACGTTTTGAAAGAAAGGGGGGAGGTGGGAAGTTTCTCCGTCCATCACACTTGAGTGTTTTGCAGTTGCTTTGCCTGACTGGGTGGGACTGTGGCAAGGCAGGTGGTCACCAGGTATCTCTGGTAACTTTTTTGTGGGGTTGGTGGTTTCCATTTTGGGCAAGGCCATTTTGTGACTCTTATGCACTCTTTTCTCCCTCCCTCCATAGTATGATGCTGTTCCCATCCAGTCCAGTGTGGTTTTATGTTCCTGCCCATCTCCACCCATGGTGAGGAACCAGACAGATTCCAGCCTTCCGCCTCTTGCTGCCTCCTGTGGCAGCAGAACGGGCCTGAGCATGGAGAGTGCCGCAGCGGAGCCCCGGACGAGTGCAGAGTCCTTGCAGCAGCTTCCTTCCCAGCCGCGGAAAAAACGCCCCGAGGACTTTAAGTTTACAAAGATTCTGGGTGAAGGTTCTTTCTCAACAGTAAGTAACTTTGCCTGGCTGCAAACATATAGTGCACCAGGCACATGGCTAGTGTGTCTCAGTGCTGCCACCAATACACACACCATGCTTGGTTTGCTTTAATTAAAGTCACTGCCCAGCAAGTTGTGGGCTAGGTTGCCAGCTAAGCTAATAAAGGTTTGCTGGTGGCCGGATTTTGGCCTTCTGCGAGGCTATTCCCCCTCCTGGTCTGTGAGGACCCTTTCTAGAATCTCATGCTCAGATTGTAATGGTATCCTTCCTTCACCTGAAACAGGTTGTCTTGGCCAGAGAATTGTCTACCTCCAGAGAATATGCCAGTGAGTAATGCTTTCTATCAAGGTGGGAGTGGTAAATACCAAACTCTGGAGTGGGCTGAGGCCGGTGTCTGATGACTCCAGTGCCAGAGCCAAAGGAAACACTGCTGTTGCTGTCTGGGTGCAAGGGTTACACAGGCCACTTGGCCTCTAAGCCAATTCCCACCTGACCAG